GTGTGATCCGCGCGCTTCAGGGACCCCCAGGCGGAGCCCGGCCCGAGCCGCCTGGCCACACAGCACCATCGATCTCATAAATATTTCGGCAGCAACAGCGGAGACGGCTTACCGTGGGCGGCCTTCCCGCGGTCCAGCTCCCTCTGCAGCCGGCTGTAATCGGCCTTCACACCCCCCAGCGCGGCGACGTTCCTGGCGCTCAGCCCCGCCAGCCGGGCCAGGAGGCCCTCCAGCCCGTCCCTCTCCAAGGTCAGCGCGCCGATCTCCTCTGCGAGCTCCTTGGCCGTGGAGAAATGGTTTCCTGCGGCACCGCGTGGAGAGAAGGAGACGTAAGCTTTGAGGCACCCCCAGGCCTGAAGGACTTATTGTTTTTTAATATATTTTTATTGATTTCAGAGAGGAAGGGAGAGGGAGAGAGGGAGAAACATCCATGATGAGAGAGAATCATGGACCGGCTGCCTCCTGCACGCCCCACACTGGGGATCAGGCCTGCAACCCGGGCATGTGCCCTGACCGGGAATCGAACCATGACCTCCTGGTTCCTAGGTCGATGCTCAACCACTGAGCCATGCCGGCCGGGCTGGACCCGGTTTTCAAGCAAGAGATCGAACAGTCGGGGGGGGGGGCACCAACTGTGCCCCCAACTGAGCCACCAGGCAAAACACGCCCCAGCGTGCCATCGCCTCCTGGGGACGGTCCAGAGAGAAAAGGCGTCTGAACACACGTGGAAAGAGCTCAGGCAGACACGAGGGCCCAGGCCCATCTGCAACTCAGCTCGAACCCGAGACCCAGGCCCTCGATCAGACGTGAACGATCATTAACTGAGCCCCGGGCCCCGCCTGCCGCCTGGGGAGCACGGCTGGGAAACGCATCGTGAGAGCCGTGCAAGTGTTAGCCACGCACAAGGAGCCCAGTTCCCAAAGAGGCCGTTCATGTCGGAGCGCGAGCCCACGGAATGCTACGCCGCCCTCGGCTGATATTTCAGACGCGTCCTGGCCTCAGTCCCCAGCCCGAGGCCAAGCTCGCTGACGGCGGGAACCGGCCCAGAGCCCCGTGAAGGGAATCAGAGAGGTACAGACGCTGACTCCTGAAGGGAGGCCCGTCAGGACCCGGTGACCCCAATCTCCGAGACTCTAATGGGCCTGCTCCTAGACGCCACCGAGGGTTGGCGTGGAGATGAATGTCTCGCCTTCGCCATCTCGCGACACACATGCCCGCCTTCTCAGCAGCCACGGAAGTGAGCACGCTT